TTTCTTTATTGATGATTTCGCTTTGTGGTTCTGATTGCATACAATCATCTAAACGAGCATTTGCTGAGGCGTAATGGACGAGTTGTAGGGGGGAAAGCAAGAGGTAAGAAGAAAATAAAGAATGACGAAAGAGGTGAAGACGAATGGAAGGGACAAAAAGGAGGAAGAGTAAAAGAAAAGGAAGGAGGAAGAGAAGAAAAATGGGGAACAATAAAAGGAGAAAAAGAAGAAAAAGGATGAAGAAAAGGGAGGAAGAAGGAAAATGAGACGTAAGAGAACGAAATAACAAAAAACTAGTAACAGAGAAGAAGAAGAAGATGAAGAAGAAGAATACAAATTTGCGCCTGTTTTCTCATCCTCCTCTCCGCCCACTGTGCGCGGCCACGTCGCTGTGCCGCAGGCGTCGGCGCTCGCGCAGTTGGCGCGGCACCGGAGGTCAGCGGAGGCCGCATGTGCTTTGGGATTCCCCGTTCGCAATCGATCTCGGGAAACATTTGAACGCGCGCAGCCAGTGCTCCACTTCACTACAGAATAATGGGATGCGATCGCCAAAGCAACTCACCGCAAGGAACCTTCGCCGAGCCATGCTTTGCCTTATCCCAAGAAAGAAGAGGATGTAGCATGCTCAGCAAGATGGTTGGCCCTAGAAAGCTTTGCGGGCCATCAAAGATACATAAATATCTATTACTTCAAATGAAAATTGCATTTTGACCGCTCAGATTCTTGCGATGTTTCCATTGACTGTGCTACGGATGTCCTTTATGAACATTGGAAACAAACGAAGTGAAAAACGTTAAAGGGTGCAAATGTACGAAAATTTAAATAATAATGACATTTGAGATAAACACATAAGTAATATAGATCCAAATTTAGTTGTCGAAGTTCTAATGCGATGTGCAACCATTTTATCGCAACTAGAGAAGTGTCGTAAAGTTCCTCGAATCGTGCATTTAGGATAATAAAGAGGAACCGTTGAGCCGCATAGGGCTGGAGAAATTATTAGTTCCGTTGAACTCTCTGACATATGAATATGGAACATTTACATTCCTTCTGAAAAATAATATTATTTTTATTCTGATTAGCTGAGTAATAAAAATATTTTTAATGAATCATGCTACAAGAATTTTTCGATAAAAATAGATCTACGTCTTGCTTTAGGGCAAATGATTGAGTGAATGAACTCCTATTGCAGCATTTAAACGGCGAACGATTATCAAACAACTCGTTTACATACGGCAAATTGCATATAGATGCAAAACTCATTTACAAACATGTCTTTACGTGAGTATAATTGCCTGTAATTTGCATTAAAGGCCTGAGGTTTTTATATCCCATAATTACCAGTATTTAAAGACGAAAAGAACATGTTTTGACTTCATATTCAGATATTCTGATCCTGATCGCTATCAAAACAATGTTGAAAACAGAAAATGCATTGAAGTTAAAAATTGACAATGACAAAGTGAACACATAAATTGACAATGAAATCAGAGGACCAAACAGATGGAAAAGGCAAAATTCGAGTAAAATGAAAAACGAGATGGATCTACAAGGCAAAAGGAGAAAAGAAGGAAAGTAGGTGAAAAAAAGAAAGAGGAAAACATTACAGAGATAAAAAGTATAAATATTGAAAGAAAAGGTGGAAAGTGAGTTTAAAACAGAAACACATGGAGAATGAGAACGCAAGAAGTTGTGTTTGAACTGGAGGAGGAACAGAAAAAGGCGATAGTGTAGAAACTGAAAGCAGTCATACTACATGGCAGGAAAGCCGAAACTCCTCACGAAGAAAATACAGAAAGAAGAGCAGTAAGTGAGAAACCTAGCGAGAACTGCGTGCCGTGTGGTGGGTGTTCGCCAGCGAGAGGCCCTAGCTGCAGTGCATTCCATTGCGTCGCCAGTTCCAACATTTGATATCCAGTTCCCAGGAGAGTATCGAACTGCGTGTGTTGGGAACCACCCATTTACCCCAAATCAATATTTACACTATCAAAAATATCCACAATTCCTTTTTTTATCCTTTCCCTTCCACTTCTGAATGATACGAGGGGGGGAATATTGGGTGCGGGGTTATTAGGCGGCGGCGGCGACGGCGGTTGTGCAATTCTGTGTCTAGGGACAACGCAGGCAGACGGGCCGACCCCGTCACGCTCTAATGCTTCGGATTTTTGAGAAGCGGGAGGGGGGGGCGGGGGGGTCTGAAATCGCTTGCTGGATGCTTATGGAGCCGCTGAATCATTGAGGTGTGATTCCGGGCGTGACAACTGCTAAGGTCATTAGTCTTACTCGTATAAGTGTAGTGCGTTTTCCCTCTCGGGAGTTGGGTTTTCCCCCTGTAGATTGCGAGATTCGTCGCCGAGCTTCACGTAGGCTTGCAGGCATTCCCCAGCCAGGTATCTCCCACGAGCGGGACACCGTCCCAGGCGCGAGAAGCTCTAATTTCCCTAGCGGTCTCCTGACTTGTGTGGTAGTGTAGTGAATGTAAGTGTGTGACGTACATGTAAGGGGTGGGGTTAGTACAAGGAAGTGGAAAGTAAGATCCCACGCGATCCGTGGCCCGTTTGTTAGGGTGTTGCTCTGGCATTCTCTGGTGATCGCAAAACTACCGACCAGAGCAACCAACAGCCGGCCGCTAGACCTTTCGCCCACACAATGCCTGAATTTGGCCTAGCCAATGAACTAATGTTGGAAACGGAGACGCGAGGGGGAAATGGGAGGAGGGTGTGTGGTGGCGGGCGGGGGGCGAGGCGGGACGGGACCTCCAAGGTAATTGGACCAGCGCCGCGCGGGCGGACGCAAGGTCGCCGCGCCGAGACAAAGCCGCGGGGCGGGGCCGGGCACGGCTAGGCGCAGCTGCGCGGGGCTTCGAACACCTGCCCCCGACACAGCCCCTGGGCGTTGTAGGCTGCGGGGAAAGGAAAAGCGATGCAGATTCGGTGGAATTTAAATACTTCGTAAGTCAGCCGATTTCATCTGCGCTTCTAAAGGGCAATTTAAGGTATATGTATGCTCTAAGATAGACATAAAAATAAAATCATAAAAAATCGTATGTCTCATTTATTGTTATGAAAATCGTGATTTGTATTATTTCATGGTAATTGCAACATTACTTGGTACTAATAATAACAAGTTATACTTCTTATAACTAGTAATATTTCCGACTTTCAGTTAATATAAGTTTCCCTTCTCTCTTGAAATATATATATATATATATATATATATATATATATATATATATATATATATATATATATATATATGTGTGTGTGTGTGTGTGTGTGTGTGTGTGTGTGTGTGTGTTTGTGTTTTTACTTCCGTGCTTTTTCAACGAAAGTGGTGATATGATGGGCAGGTGATGGGACTAAAGCTGTAAGTTTATGCAGCCTGTTTCGGCAACTACGAAAACGGAACCTGTGACCCACATGTGCGCTTGCTTTTCGAACTTGGAAGCCGGAATTTATATCCCTGTTACTTCGTGTGAAATTTAGAGGTAATAAAATAATTTTCGCGGCAGATTTCTTCTACTCAAGCGTCGTAAGTCCGCGACTTCCTTAATTGCATTTTGGGAAAATATTTCCTTTCACAAAAAAAAAAAAGAAAGTTTTATTTAAAGTCTGACCTATAAAACAAAGACAACCGTTTGGGTACTGAAAAATGTACGAGTACACCGGTGGTTCACGCCGAAAGCCCAAGATACACTACACATCTCAGCTCTACTGAGACGTCGAGTTTTTGCTACAGGTTGAAAGGATAATTTCAATTCCTCAGTCTATTTTAAATATTTCTCCATACGCCAGCAACGCAAGGAAAACCAGCGCCCTCAGACATCGCGTTTCTGCTTGGTGCTCCGAACGCTCTGCATTCCAGTCGGTTTATTCCTTGTTGCTTTCACCGCGGACTTTCTTCGAGTGAGTTTGTTCGTCGTCATAATTTTTAAATGAATCGAGCGATTTTGATGTTTTAAGAATCTGATCATTTATTTTTACCGTGGGAAGGATATCGGCAGTATGAAATTGCTTAAGAACCAAAATGATGATTAGTAGCGATGTTGGATTTTTTAACTTATTTTTTAGTTAACGTGATAAAAGGAATGTAATAGAGAACCAGTTAACGCGCTTGGTGTGCAATACATATAATAACACACAACTTCGTTGTATAGCATCACGGATAAGATTTTTAAAACAGTAATCACCAACCGATGGTCAGCAGTTCACTGTAAGTCTCCTAGCACATGATGTTGGCTTCCAGAAAAATCTCATCATTTGTGAGTTTAATTTACAATTACATATGTCAAAATCTATAAACTTACTTCCAAGAAGCAGGTGCACATGTCACGTTCATATATGTAACCCTACTTAAATGAACATTATAATATAATTATTTCTTAGTAAAGCAACAAACGTTAAACCTTTTTGAAAGATTTTGTAATTATTTAATAAGCGTGGGCGATTTTCTTGTACTAAATGCTTGTAGATACATGACGTATTATTAAAATCAAAGTTCTCTCATCTTTAGTTTTCAATGTAGAAAAGGCGACTGCTTTCACGACACGCCCTTGAACGTTCAGAGATTTTTTCGCAATTATATCAGCAGAAACAATACGATATCCGAGATGATGGTCCAATCCAGGGAATCGATGGTCGACGCCGCAACTAACACACAAAAGATTATTACTTAATTTCTCGGCTCCTATGGGACGTACTAAGTTGCCATATTCTCCATTATACAACCATCGCCAAGACAAACACCGAAGGTTCGAAACTAATTTTGTCAGCAACTCGTAATTTAAATACAAATCAAACAATGCACTTTAGTACGTTGCGCTCGTATCAGTCAACGTGTCGATTTACTCTACAACGAAGAAAGAGGCTCATTTCAAAATGTATATTAGCGGCCAGTAAAATTTAAAATTCCTCATTTAGGAAGGAATGTGTCTCAGAAAGTTTGGAAAAGCATATTTTTTATTTTTGATTACTAAGCGAACGCTAAAGGACTCGGCGCGAATGGCCCCGGAAGCCCCCGCCCCCGGAGGAAGTTTCCAGCGCCGCGGGCGCGCGCGCGGAGGACGGGCGGCGGCGTCAGACTCCATCGACTCGTCGGGAGCGACACGAACCGGTCGAGGAATGGGGACAGCGCCGCTGCCGGCTCTACTTTCTGACGCGTCGCCGCCGCCGCCGCCGCCAGGCCGCCGCCGCCTCTGCCGACCACGTGCTCTGCGTGAGCCCTGCGGAGAGAAGCATCTCGCGGCGCTACGGGCTCCGCTGCTCCAGGCCGGGGCAACGTCTCTGAGTAAGCGCCAAGGCGATCCACCACTGCCCATTTGAATGGTAATAGGAAGGGGAGGGGTCTTTGGTTTTTACGAAATAAATTAACCCTGCAAAAGTTTTTTATTTACCCGAGTGTGTACACGCTTTACAACAAAATGAAGCCTTAATTTTTCTAATTAGTACGATAACTGTGTCTGCATATCACGCTCCAAAATTTGACAATGAAGTATACCAGTAGTAGACCTCGCAATTTTACGCACAAAAAAGTGATGATTTAGGCACATAAAATAGGTGAAATTATGCATTTTAGTCATGAAAGTGATTCAGGCATCTAAAATAGGTTACAAAATGATTAAACCAGACATTTAACAAACATTAGACATGAAAAGTTCTTTTTACATCTAAAATTGATCACAAAAGAATTAAATTAGGAACTTTTTCTTATTTAGGAAAACCAAGTAGTTTTTACATTTATGAGTGAAAACAAGCATATGATTTTATTCGCTTTCTTTTCATTTTGTTCATTCTTTCACACTTTCCATTCTCAATGTTTCAACAGCGCAACTGCACCATGAATGTGTAGAATTGCCTAAGTGCGTGCAGATCGGTGACGTGCGTAAAGAATCCTCTTTGTATTGACTTGCAGAGCTCCGACTACGTTCAGTGTGTGGGGTGAGATATTTCGCTGCGCAGTCGATTGCGTATTACATCTATATATATAAAAGAAAGTCGTGTTAGTTACTCCACTTATAACTCAAGAACGGCTGAACCGAACGATTTAGCTGAAAATTGGCAGGGAGGTAGTTTACGAGCGGAGAAGGACATAGATACTTTTTATGCGTTCGACGCATTCCGTGGATTGACATGAACGTCCAGTCCACTATAAAACGTGGTATACAAAAAAGAATCAGACTTGGAATAAAAAACGCAATTACAGCTATTGTAATTGACGTATAATGAAGGATATGATTGAGTATGGGATGACATTGATATTGTTAAGAAAAATATAAAAAAATAAATAAATATATAAAAACGCATCACGTGCATTGAAGCACTTAACGAACATTAAAAGATTTACGCAATGATCGAGAGTTTGGGAGGAGAATGATTTTACTGTCTGGCGATATTCCGCAAATACTGCCCAGTATTCCGAAGATCTACGGCTGCCGACTGTAAAATAAACGTTGCTAATCGTCAAATCTATGGCGCTAATGTGAAGAAACTGCAACTGACAACAAAACATGAGAGTTTACATTGCTTAATGAATACATTTGCTGAAATTTCTCGGAGCAATTGCTGACTATCGGTTAATGGTAAGTACCTGTCGATGAATGAGCGGATTAATATATTTCCAAATAATTTCTGTAATTTTGTCTCATCAAAAGACGAACTTATCAACAATGTATTTCCAGAAATTATTTCTAACTACAAAAATAAGAATGGTTGAGTGAGCGAAGCAATTTTAGGGCTAAGAATAAAGATGTAGATTGACCTAAACTACATAAATCAAAATAAGATATTGGAAAATGCTGTATTTCAAATCTAATTGATGCGTCCAAAATGAAGATGAAGCCACCAACTATCCAATTGAATTTTTAAACTTATTGAAACGTGCCTGTCTTACACGCAACAATTTAGCGCTAAAGGTTGGCTCCGTAGTAATCATTGCTTCGAAACATAAACCACAAACTGTGCAACGTAAAAACGGGTTTGATGGTTAGAAAATTGAATGAACAAATGATTTTTTTTTACGCTACGCTAATGATAGGAAATTCAAAGGTGAGGAA